ATGTGCAATAGCTACTGAGCTACTGCACAGTAGGATGCAAAATGATCCGTGTGCTGCTGGGACCACACAGTTATAGTAGATACTGTGCAGTCATGTAGTATTTGCTCAAGTTGGGCGCACATGTAGATGTGCCCATTGTAGCATAGACAGACAACTAACTAACTGCCTTGTGAATAATCGGAAAAGTCCATTCATTAGGGCTGTCAACCTAACATCATTTGTGAACTCTAAATTTATGACAGTAATAGCAAGAAGAAAAAATGTATGTATTTTCAAGTCGGTTGAGAGTAAATAATTGCTAAAAGGTAAACCTGGATTGAGGGATTGAGGACATTTTGGTTGGGCATGTCTACACATGCAATTACAGTGCATGAATAAACTACAGAGCTTGTTGTTCCACAGGTAATTGCCATCTGAAAGTGCACCCACGAGCAATAAACTTCAGCACAATAAGCTTGCAGTTTATTCATGCACAGTACATTGAGCCAAGGCAAAGGATCTGGGGATCAACCTGCCAGCCTGGGGCTGGACCCCCAGCTCACCATGCTGTGAAGGGGCTGGCTGGGGCATAAGGGTGCTTCCGTGTGAGGCTAGCCAGCAGATAGCCCCTGCACTGAAGCACCCTTGTGCCCCAGCTAGCCAGGCAATGTCTACACACACACTGCTAGTTTTTTACTCCACAGCAGTAGAGTACTTATATTTACAAGTATTCTCCTGTTGCAGAGTAAATTAGTTTACTCCAGCCTAATAGGAGCTGGGTCTGTTCAATATTTTCATCAGACACCTGGAAGATAGGATACAGTGCACCCTCAGCAAGTTTGCAGATGACACCAAGATGGTAGGAGTAGTAGATACGCTAGAGAGTAAGACTAGGATTCAGGGAGACTGTGATAAATTGGAGAATTGGGCCAAAAGAAATCTCATGTCTCTTGTTGATTTGCGCCTCAAGTCTGTTGCTGATTCATCTCTGTTACATGTGTATGTTCACCTAAAATCTCTTTGACTGCTCTCTGCTCCCATGGTTTGCCCCTCCCTCCTTTCCAGGTGCCCGAACGGGGGTACCATTATCTCCCAGGGACCACCTGCACCCCACATGTGTCATATTCCACCCTGTTCTTTCCCTGTTAAACCCATATATGGTTGAGTTCCAATTGGTCTCAACTCTACTCTATAGGGGATAAGAGAAGAGCTGCTCCCCCATAAGCGGCTACGCCTCCCATAGCACACTAACACCTGCTAAATCCCTTCAATTGGTGAGGGGGTACCTCATCTGAGTACAACCTGGGTTACATTTGCCACCTGGGTTACCCCTACCCTCCCAGCCCTGCCCAAACAAAAACCCAGTCTAACAAAAAGTAATTTTAATTAACCTGAGTCTTGAACTACCTGACCCATAACAATTTGATCTTTGCCATGAAGTGCATGCGAACACAGGGAGCAGTTTTTTTTTATAATCCAAAAAAGTTGTATTTTTCATTAAACTGAACCTTGAACACTAAATCACCAGTAAAAATTTGCAAGATTAACGGCTGGAGTCTTGTTGCAGTATTGTAATAGAAATTCAACGGATTCCCATGGATTGCCAAGTGAACCCAAGCGGCACCTGGTGGTAAAATTGTTGCAAAGCAGGGAAAATCCCATTTTCAGGCGTAAATTGGATACACGTTGAAAATTTAATAGGAAAAAAAAAACCTCTCATGAAAGAAATTCAGGAGCTAAAAATAAAACATGTTGGGGGTGTTTTAAATTACCACAATTAAAAAAAAATCTAAAATGATAAAATCAGCTGACAACATGGATACACAGACACAATTTAGCTAGCTTAATGGTAATTTTTGTCACATGGACACAGAAAAAGCATAACATGGGCGACTGCCCATCAGGTTCATTAAGGAGAAGTGCAAAGTCCTGCACTTAGGATGGAAAAGTCCCATGCACCAGTACAGTCTGGGGTCTGACTGGCTAAGCAGCAGCTCTGCAGTAAAGGGGGTTATAGTGGACAGTAAGCTGAGTGAGCCAACAGTGTGCCCTTGTTGCCAAGAAAGCTAATGGTATACTGGACTGTATTTGTAGGAGCATTGCCAGCAGATCAAGGGAAGTGGTTATTCCCCTCTATTCTGCACTGGTGAGGCCACATCTGGAGTCTTGTGTCCAGCATTGGGACCTCAGTACAGAAAGGATGTAGAGAAGGTGAATAAAATGGTTAGGGGGGTGGGGCACATGACTTCTGAGGAGAGGCTGAGGGAACTGGGCTTATTTAGTCAAGAGAAGAGAAGAGAAGACTAAGGAGGTATTTAATAGCAGTCTTCAACTCCCTGCAGGGTGATTCCAAAGAGGATGGAACTGGACTGCTTTCAGTGGTGGCAGATGACAGAACAAGGAGCAATGGGCTCAAGTTGCAGCAAGGGAAGTTTAGGTTAGATATTAGGAAGAACTCTCTCACTAAGAGCAAGTGAAGCACTGGAACAGGTTACCCAGAGAAGTTGTGGACCCTCCATCCTTGGAGGTTTTTAAGACCCAGGCAGACAAAGCCTTGGCTGGATGATATAGTTGGGGATGGTCCTGCTTTGAGCAGGGGATTGAACTAGTTGCCCTCCTGAGGTCCCTTCCAACCCTAATTTTCTATTATTCTATTTTTTAATGCCCTCTTTTAAACTCTGATCAGACCATTAACTTGCTGCAAAATTCACACTAAAGGTAGGAAGCAGAGCTTTATGGGTATGGCTGATTTCTGGAGTAGTCAGGGAACTAGATAACACTGGTGCCAGTTCACCACTAAACATATCACTCTTCCCATTCTTACCAAGCTCCCGCTCATCTACAGCCCCATTCCAAAAATATTTTACATTGATCAGATCCCATTGAGTACTTCAAAGAAGCTATACTTATGATCCATTTTTAGTTTTCCTTGGGATTGATATAGATTCATAGATTGTTAGGGGCTGGATGGGACCTTGCAGATCATCGGTTCCAGCCCCCCTGCTCTAGGCAGGAAGACAACTGGGGTTAGGTGACCCCAGCAAGGTGACTGTCCAGTCTCCTTTTGAAAGCCTTCAGGGTAGGTGACTGCACCACCTCTGGAGGGAGTTTATTGCACAGTCTGGTCACCCCGACTGTAAAGCAGTTTTTCCTGGTATTAAGCTTGAAGCAGCCTTCCAGAATTTTGTATCCACTGGTCCTGGTCTTCCCTGAGGGTACCCTAGTGAACAGTTGTTCACTGAGCTCCTGATGCACTCCTCTGATACAGCGATAAGCCACTATCAAGTACCCTCTCAATCTTCTCTTCTTTAAGCTAAAGAGGCCCAGGTCCCACAGCCTTTCCTCGTATGGCTTGCCTTC